GCTTTGAATTCCGATCTGTCACGTCTAACGATGCAAGGCGAGAAAACAGCGTCCGCATCGGTAGACCGCCATTCTTGAAATCCACCGTAAGCGTGATTATCGACTGTTTTGCCGAGATAAATGCAGGCCTAGTTTCGTCTGCTGTTTCAAGTCATTTCGGGCATTCCCTATTGGCGAGATTTTGAGTTGACGGATTTACTCGCACTCGTTACAATTACTGCAATACATAACAGTGATTAGAGGAATTCGTCAGTCTGGTTCAAAGAGGGACAAAAAAACGGACTTCTCAAGACACCCTCCCGCCAACGCGGGCAGCTGGTGCGCTCGATATCTTTACTCATTTGTGTTTACTTCTTTAATTTCATATTCTTCATTTTACTTGAATAAATAATCACAAATATTTGTTTTTCATCTTAAAGGATGTCTTAGTAGAAGTATGGCACTGAAGTCACAGGTTTACCTTGGTCAGCCGGAACTACAACCGTCATGAATTCCTTGTCGACAAGCTTCGGCTCAAGCATTTCCATTTCATCGCGAATATATGCATACATGTTCGCATATAATTTACACAGCTAGATTACTTTCGTACTACTTTCTGTAAAAACAAAAAGTTGTAGTAGCGATTGCATTTGTTTTTGTCCCGCTTTTGTGCAAAAGGTTCAGCTAAAGAACCTACGACCCATAATTTCAAAGGGCGAAACAGGATTATTGATTAAATTAATAAAAATCGAAAGCAGCGCAGGTATTCCTTAATTAGCAGAATACTTGAACCTGAGACCAATACCCAAATACAGCAAACAAAAATAAATCAAGGCATGAAGTACACGGAATCAAAATATAATCTCGTCTGTGGCATTGGGCAACAATGCCAGCGCGGAAGGTACACTTTGCAGCTCTGCAACTTTGGATAAAAGAAAATAAAGACAACTTGTTTTTTTGTGTTTTTTTATATAAATAAACACAAGAGTATGGCAGAGAACTGTAAACAAATTTAAGTAGAATATGATTTTTTTCTCCGCCTTGAAGTGTTTTATTTTCGTCTTTAGGACAAGTCTAAAGCGACATGTATATTTCGATTTTTACGATAAACCAATTATTTATATATGAATCGTAAAAAAGGTAGACTAAAATATATGACATAAGTTTTAATGTTGTAGGTATTCAATTTGTTTTGATAATGGCACAGAAATATCGAGACAAAACATCACAAGAGCAATGTTCACGGATTTTCGACGCGAAATATATAACTTCCATTATGCTGCACAAACCTAAATAAATAGTATACATAATCCGTTATAAGTTCAAAATATTGTAGATTTGTGATATTTGTAGTTTGCCTAGTTGGTGTCAACAAACATGACATAAACAAAAACTTAAAAAAATCAAATACGCCGTTCTGGAGCTATCAAATTTTTTCCTCTCCAAATATTATGTTTTATGAAAAAAAAATAATTTTATAACGTTTTCTGCACATGTTGAAAAATAACATTTAAGAAAATTAAAAAAAAAGTCCGGACTCGTGTGCATGATCAGAACCACTAATTACATGAACAGAACCAGTACTTACTTCCGTACGACAATAACTAGAACATGCCTTCACTATAAGAATAGATTGCAAGAGAGGAATCAGCGGTGTCGACAAACGATTGATCCTTTGAAGGTATGGTCGTGACGTTTTGTTTAGCTTTACAAAATTGGACACCGACGAAAAATAAAGCGAAAGGGACCGTTCTTTCTTGCATGCGGCTTGCGTAGTTGCCAAGCATGCTGCAGGCGTAGTCCCCCCCCCCCCCCCTTCTTTTTATGTAAAGCACAGAAATGGGAGATTTACGGGTAATAAAAATGAAGAACAAATGAAACAGAGCGATTTCACCACCACCCTACCGCAAAATTACAACTTCATCGCTGAACCTGAAGCGTCCGCGTCCGCGCTGAAAGACGGTGTTCAAGCCGGCCTGTGCCACACCCACGCTGCTTTCGTGTCTTCTCGCTCTTTCAGCGGATTTCAGCTTTCTGCGGATTGCAGCAACCATACGCTTTACCAAACATACGAGCAGAATCGGTACGACTAAAAACGCCTATCATGTATGGTTATGCAGTGCGGGACTACGCACACGCGACCCGTAATCTCGCGCTTACCTTTGCCCGAAGTACTCGACTTGGCAAATGTGCGCCAGGGATGTGAATTTTTTTTTTAAAGCTGAACAGAAAAAAAGCGGTACACATCAAGTACTCACATTCGGAACTCGCCCACGACGAGTCTGTGCGAGCGGCGTGCCTACTTTTGCCACCGTATGGACCTTTTTCGTGTACTCTCGTCCCCAGTCACCTAATAGGCGTATCCGGTATGGGCGACGAGAAAAGAGCGAGCTTTAGTAGACCGTGTTTCCACCTCTGCTAAGCTCCTCCACTACCCGGAACTCTACAGTCAAAGCCAAGAACGGAAGTGTAGTAGTTTATTTATTTATTTATTTATTTACCCTCAAGGCCCCGAAGGGTATTACAGAGGGGAGTGGGGGGGGGGGGGGGGGGGGGGGATGAGGTGACAAGGGTACAGTTGTTGATACATAAAATATAATACAGTAATTAATGCACGCTTGCTCAGACACTTCAAAAAAATTTACACAATGTTGTAACAGTAATACCAACTAGAAAATGGTTAATCAAAATGAACAAACAAGGCATTTTTAAAATCAATAATAATGGTTATGGAGGCTATGTCAGCGGAAAGGCGATTCCAATCAGGGCTAGGGCGAGGGACAAAGGAGTTATAATAAGTGTTAGTTTTGTAATTGGGGATACCGACTTTGCGCTGGTGATCTACGCGGGATGAAACATAAGAAACATAACATTTATTAAGATTGAGTTGCATCAACCACTTGTGACACCAGTTAGATACAGAGTTAAGATAATATTGGAGAACAGAGATGTAGGAGCTATCAGTTATTTCTCTATATAGTACACAATCATCAGCAAATAAACTAATATTAGAGGAGATACATTCAGACAGATCATTAATATAGATGAGGAAAAGTAGCGGACCTAAAACAGAACCCTGGGGAACTCCAGATGCTACGGGAGAAAGTGAAGAGTTAGTATCATTGGGGCATGCACAAATTGAGAACGGTTGGTTAAAAAGATTCTATCCAGCGTAGCATGTTGGGATCAATGTTGAGTTTACTAAGTTTTAATAGGAGTAGCCGGTGAGAAACTTTATTGAAGACCTTAGAGAAATCAAGGAAAACGCAGTCTATCTGGGAGCCACGGTCAAGAACAGAATGAAGCTTATTAGTGAAGAGCAGAAGCTGTGTTTCACAGGAAAATTATTTGCGGAAGCCGTTTTGAGTTGGGTGAAAAAAAGAATTCGATTCTAGGAAACATGCGAGGTTAGAATTTATGATATGTTCGAGTATCTTACAAGGAATGGATGTTAAAGAAATGACCGGAAGTTGTTCGGTGAGGAGTGGTTGACACTTTTATGAATTGGAATCACCTTTCCAACTTTCCAGTCTTCGGGAAGGCAGCCTTCCTTCAGTGATTGCTTAAAAATCGCTGATAGTATAGCTGATGAATACGACTTCGGGTTCTTTAAGAATTTAGAGTTAATATAGCCAATACCGGATGAGGAGGAGAGCTTCAGGTTATTAATTGTTGCAGCTATACCATCATATGATATTAATATTGGATTCATTGGCAAAAAGTCAGGGCAATTAAAGTTGGGGTACACAGAAACATCGGTGGAAGAAAAGGATTGTATAAATATATCGTTTAGCAATGATGCACACTCATCTTGACCCACTCGTTCCCCATCTGCGTTTGTAAGCTTCAGGTCACCGTGGTTATCATTAGGTTTGATTAAGTTCCAAAAGTGGCGACCATTTGTAGATAAAATATTGGGCAACGTGTTAGTAAAAAAATTGCGTTTCACTTCTAATACTGCACGTTTCTATTCCTGCTCGGCGCAATGATAGGCGTTAAAATGGCTATCTTGTTTTAAAAGTTTGGCTACACGAAAGAGGCGTTTCTTTTTATTGGAAAGTCGTTTAAGTCTGGTGTTGTACCAAGGGGAATTACTTTTGGATGATAATGTGCGAACAGGAATATATGTGCTTATTAGATAGTTAACTTTGTTTCGAAACAAGCACCAATTTTCATCTACAGAACGTTCAAAGAAATTTTCCACAAAGTAACTCAGAAATTTACACAATTCACTATTTATAGCCGTAAAATTAGCTTTTCCGTAATCACGAATCTGTTTAACTATTTTCGGGGAATGACTTGTGGTAATATTTAAGGTAAAATGCAGCAATAAATGATCACTAAAACCAGATAGATAGGTAATAGGGGAAACAAGGTCGGCGAAGGTTGACAATACAAGATCTAACACTGAGGCACAGGAGGGCGTAATTCTGGTGGGACGAGGCACTAGCTGAGAGAAATTGTAGTCCGAACATAGTTTGAGGAATTTTCACTGTCAGACGAAAAAGGGCTTGCGTAAGCTCTTTCCGCCGACCACACAATATTTGGATAGTTAAAATCACCCAGAAAGTTGAAGTTTGGTGTGGGAGATCGCAAGGTCACTGTACTGACTACGTCATGAAGTTTGTTCAGAAAGCTATCGTCACTTGAGGGAGGGCGGTAACAGGCACCCAAGGTATATTTTTGTGAATCACGGAAAGGCAAACAAAGACTGTTTCGAGGTCACTCGCAACATTCAAATAAAGGGAATCTATATGTTCGGCGACTGCAATCAGCACACCTCCGCCTTGGCGAGCTTCCCTATCAGTGCGATAAATTTTGAAGCGTTTGTGAGTAGTTAGGATTTCGTTATCATGAATTTTGCAAGAGAGCCACGTTACTGTCAAAACTACAACATCAGCCCCGGTGGGGTCAATGACAGAGCATAGATCGTCGCGATTTCGCATGACACTTCGGATATTAGAAAACAGAACATTAATTATTTCGGGCGCAAAAGAAGAGCCACTACCCCTCGCACAACGTTAGGGCAAGGCAGATCGGGCAGATGCTGCGCGGGCACTTAAATTTGGTGCGACGTTATTTTGGAGGGATAACGAAGGTTGATTATTATCGCCTCCAGGGCTTCTTGTATTTGTATTAGTCTTGTCCGGCCTTCTGTAATTTCCGACTCCATACACCCTGTCGTTCGCATTTTCATACATGAAACATTTATTGTTCACGTAAAGCTTATTGTAGCGCAGTTGGAAGACGCTCTTTTGTAATTTTCCAAACTCAAAAAGTTTCAGTCTTGCTAGGCGCGTAGCCGGAGAAGAATCTTCTTTAGCGGTTATGCCGCAGGCTTTAAGCTTAGGTCGTGATTGTAGGATTGTTTGTTTTGTTTGGAAAGAAGAGAACTTAACAATCACTGGTCTGCATCTTCCGACTGCATACGAACCAAGCCTGTGAGCACGTTCAACGCCTTCATCGGAAACTTGCAGACAAAGTGAAGCAGATAACGCATCTAATATTTTTACTTTTGACTGTTCCCAAGATTCTGAGGCGGAATATTCAATACCGTGAAAGATAATATTGCTCCTTCTTGAGCGGTCCTCAATATCGTCCAGGCGCTCGTGCAGTCTTTGGTTGTCCTTAATAACAGACTGCATTAATCCCTCGGCGGTCAATAGTTCTTCCCGGGTTGCATCGAGTGTTGCAACTTTGCACTTAACTCCATCGAGCCGATTTTGGATGTCGGTAACCTTTAGTTTGACGGGTTCTTGTTTACTCTTTAAAGGGGTAGGGAAAAGAAATTTCAGCGATCATTTTCTAGCTTTAATGTGTTGTCTGTTGCACCTTAACCTCAGAAACACCAGTCTTCCGTTGAAAAGCACAAGAAAACTAATTTTAAAGCTAAATAAACGATCTTCAATGTGCACCTGGTGGATGCATGCGGAGCCTATTTGGGAGGTAGTCTAGCAACGTTGTGGAATCTGCTACGTAGTCGTGACGTAGCAGATTCCTTCGGAGCAGCGCCGCTCTTTGGCATTTCAACGTTTTCCTTCTTAGCTTTCCTCCCGAACTCACAAATCGCGCATTGTACCAAGCGGTCCAAGAAGGCGGAACGGAAGGACTCCCCTCTTTCTCGCACCCTCGTTCGTGCAACCGGAAACAGCCATTCTCCCCCTAAAAGATTAGCCCGTCGCTCAAAACTCGAACAAAAAAAAGTTGCTTTCCCCACCCCGTTCAGCACTAAGCTGAAAGTGTTGTGGAAGCTACGTGTTCCGTGGGCCAGCCACACGCTCGTCACCCGACGGGTACTTCGAACGGCTCGGTTGTGACGCGCTGACGCTATTGACACCACCGGAACGCTGACAACGCCACCAAGGTAAAAGCTCATAATCACGCCAGCCGTGCTACGTCACGAACGCGGGGAATCTTTTCTTTCTGTTTTTGTTTGCGCCGGATATCCCATGACGCATGGCGCTCTCCGTTCGCTTCTCTTCGAGCGCTTGCTCGAGTGCACCGTTTGGAACGAAAAATATAGCCAATCGTTGAAAATACAAACGTGCGATTATCATATACGGTTATTATCCGTCATGCTTGACTCATTTACGAACGAAGTCTGAATATTTCAATTTTTGTTTCCGTACCCCTTTAACTTGTTAATAGACTTAATAAGGCTAGCTTGGCCTTGGTCAATCTTGACCGCACGTTCATTAACATCTTGCAAGAGCTTGAACATGTCGTTAAACTGCTTGGACTGGTCGATAGACATGGGTCCCGGATTCGCCTCAACGTCACCGGAGCGTAACAAGAGAAGTTTTAATGCATCAGCGGAATATAGGACAAGCATCGCATGTGTACACAACCAGTAATACAGAGAGCACAAAGAACAAAAAAAGCGCAATGACCGTGGGCACGGTAACTCGAGAAGCCACAAGTTTTTACTTCGTCTAGAGTGTATAGAATACTGATATCTTACCTGTATGTAGAACAAGAAAGGGTTCGTCAGCGACATTGCCGCTAACGAATCACCGTGCCCACTGGCGTAGGCCACACCATGCTCTGCTTTTGTAGCAATTGACGTGAATGTCGCAGTCGATGGTCACGCTAGGTGCGGCTGAATCGATGCAGGATTTTCGATTAGGGTGAGGTCTTCCAAGGCCAGTGAAGACGGGCACTTCCATAGATTGACGCTTGATATCCGGGCTTTGTCAGCGCTGGTGCAGGCACGCGTCCCGCGATGTGATGGCGAGACAACGAACGCCGTCGCGTCGTTACTCGTCACCAAAATGTTGAATAAAGAAAGGCGGTCACCCGAGAAAATAAAAGGGATCGCAGCGCCTGCGTGGGCCGGCGGAAGAGACGAGCTTCTTACATGCCGAAATGGTGACCGGCGGAGCCGGGGGCGCGGGAGCCCTGGAAGGAAGGAGACGTCCGACGCGGCTGGTGGCTGTAGCGTACTCTGTTTATTCAACGGTAAACAACATGGGGGTCAAGCGCCACGGGGACGCGACCCCGACAACACGGGCGCAATGGTGGACAGTGGCGCCATCTAAGTAGTGTGTATAGAACTTGCAAAAAATATGAATACAACATCTTTCCTTTCCTTAAAAAAAAATAATTCTCCCATTCTTCTCTCTCTTAGATATAATGAATATACTCTCTTCCTGAAAAGTGAGGGAAGTAAGAACCGACGCCAAACTGCAGGGCAGTTGGACAGGAAATTTTACTGAAAGGAAATGAAATTATCTCTGACAACTCTATGTCAAGATAGTGGAAAATGCATAATGAATGAAAAGGAAAAGCACGTCGCAATTGAAATTTGCGGAAAGCGCACACTGAAAAAGGCAGCGCTGAGGCAGTATGCTGGGTAAAGAAAAATTCACTGATTGTTCATATATGCATTAATATTATATGTCCTGCACTTGTCCATAAGAACTGCTGCCAAAACATTTCACAAAAAAGTAGTCTTTCAGACGCTCTGGCAGCAGCCTGGCTCGATGCGGGCTACTGTCTTGTCGGGGGGCAGAGATGGCAGTGATGACATTACTGTAATGGAATTACAGTAATTAAATTATTTTTTAGAGTAATGCGTAATGTAATGAATTACTTCTCTAGGCTAGTAATTTAGTGATGAAATGAATTACTTTCAGGCAGTAATTTTGAGAAAATTATTCATTACTTTTAAAATTACTTTTGTCCTAAATTAGAAAATTCGTTTGCAAGCTTTAAAAAAGAAAAAAAAATATTTTGCATGATGAAATATTGTGAAAGAGAAACAGAGGAAATAAACGACGGGCCACCTGAGCTCAAAGCCTGGTACGAAGAGCTGAACAGGCGCACAAAGCACGGCTGGAACGGCGAAGGAAGAAAGCTTACGTGTAGACAACGCTGGAAGGCAAAGGCTTCCGAACTCCAGGCGCCGCAGATTCACGGCGTCGCGTCATCACGACGATACTATACTTCGTTCATCCCTAAGCTAACAGTGCAGTGGGAGCTGCAAGCTAACTACAACCAATCAAACACCTTCCTTTAATCACCTGACCTCTCTCTTTCTCTGCGCGTGGACATGAACGAGAGCGTGGTTACGTGGCAAAAGATGAACGTGTGACTGCTCCAACAAACACGTAACTTTTACCGTTCATCCCTAAGCTGACAGTGCGTCAGCTTAGGGATGAACGGATCATAGGCTACAAGGCGACGGTGTTGTGAAAACGGAAAAGCCCCGGACCAGACCCTCCCTATCTAATCCGTCCGGCAACGGTGAACTCATTGAGTAGCATCGCCACATGGCTCCGGTCGGCTTGCCCGGAAACGAGGTGAGAGGCGACTAGGGGGTGCCGTGGGACCACCGTGTTGGCGTCGCCCCACCTAGGCGCGGAGCTAAGCCGGACCCTTCTTTCTGGCTGCGTTGACGCTGGTCCGAAACGGGGTCAGCCGACTCAAGAACCGGGAGGATCACCGGGCCAGGATTCCGGGTGACGACGCGCCAGCTGCGGAACCTCCGTGAGGGTGGGATTATCCCCGGACGCCACCTGCGGATGATCCGGCCAAGCCCTTTCCCGTGCCTCAACGCTGTGTGATGGAGGGGTCAGGACTACCACGGCCAACGTCGTCACCCGGGCAAACACTGGACCCCTTGCTGTCGCCTCCTCGGCGCAGCTTTCGAGGGCAAGGGTGCCTCGGCGCCGGAGTGTAAAGTCCGGCCACAGCTGCAGTGTGTGCATGTGGGTGTGCGCGTGCTCAGGGGATGAGTGGAGGCGGGGCCTGAACATGATTTGTTGGCAGCTCGGCCACCATTGGCTGCCAGCCGCGAGAGTACCGAAGAGCGACCCTATAAAAGGGGCAAACAGAATGTCGCATCTGTGCTCTCGGACGTTGTAAATACTTTGTACATATGTATTAAACAAAGTTTCGTTGCGAGAGACCCTCCCGTCTCGTCATGTTCCTGGACGGGAGTCTGCCCGCTGCTCCTTTCCTGGCCTGGCCCTGCGTGACGCTACCCGGAGAACCCCCTCGGTCCCAAAAACTGGATGGCAGCGGCGGGATCGACTTCGCCGGACCATGACTTCTCGTGTGGGTGAGTGCCCGGCCCTCTCTTTCTCAATCTGCCAGACCCATTAGCTCTAAGTTTTGCCTGTGGGGGTTGGAGATAGTCGTTGTTAGAAGGACTGTGTGACCGTTCTGACGCGAGAATTTTGTGAGAAAGAGAGCCAACACAAGCTAGATCATGAGTCTCGAGGCATTCCGTTGGCACGAGTTAGTGCAGGTTTGTACCGAATTGGGAATCGATTTAGGGCAGACCAAACGCAAACCGCATATTATAAAACTCCTTCAGGCCGAAGACGTCAGCATTGAAGAGTTCACGGAGGCTCTGGAGGAAGTTCGCGAAAGGGAGCGGGAGGAACGCAGAAAGCGGGCCGACGAGGAGGCTCGCGAGAGGGCTAGAAAAGAACTCGAGTGGGCTCTCGAGTGTAAGAGATGGGAACTCGAGAAACGCTAGTACAAGCGCGAAATGGAGAGGCTCGACTACGAGTTCGAGCAGCTCGAGCTCGCGTAGAAAGCGCGGGAGTTGGAGGCTCTTTCTCGGGCTGCAACAGGCGTTGAAGGGGTGACACGAAAGGCGTGTCAGGGAAAGGAGAAAGTGGGAGCTGGGGACACAGAGATGACCGAAAACCAGCGTCTTTCTCCCGACACGACCGTCACCGAGCTTCGCAAGACCGACCCATACCCCGAGCGGCGGGACGGCGAAAGTGACGTGGAGGCAGCGACAGAATTGGTGTGTCAGGAAAAGAAGAAAACTGGAGCTGGGGACAACGAGGTGACCGGAAACCAGCGGGTTTCTTCCGACGCGACCGACGCTGTTCCACGCGAGACCGACGCCGTTCCGCGCAAGACCTGCCGAACGCCCGAGCGGCAAGAAAAGGAAGAGAAGGCTCTTCGGGCGTCCAGCTGCGACTTCCCGGAGGACGAAGGCGATGCCAAGACAGAAGCGACGCCGGGGGAGTCCAGCCAGCTCATGGAGAGCGGCGCCGAGATGCAACAAACAGCGGTTCAGCAAACAAGCCAGGATCCTGACCGCTCTGATCGGCACCCGTGCGGCTTTGAGGACAAGCCCACGGCGCCGTCGCAGGAGTCCACGCGGCTGACCAGGAGGGAGGTGATTGGGATTTCCTTCGACAAGGTCAACCACACCTGCCTGGTACGGCTGCGGAGCCCGGACTCCAGACCATTCACGGAGTCGAGGTGCAAGGAGGACGTCGACGAGTACGCGTCCCGCAGCGAGTCGTCGAGGTTGGAGGACGGGAGACCCCAAACCGGCCATCCCAGGGGACCTGCAACCGGAGGCGGCTGCGCGAGCAAGGGATCCACCGGGGACACGATGGAGCCCGGGCGGGACAGAGCAGACCCGTCGCAGGTGCATCTAAGGACGTCGTCGTGCTCGCGGCATGGGAGATCCGAGACCGAGAACCTGGATGCCATCAGGAGCAAGCGACCGAGGTCGAAGAAGAAGAGGCGGCGCCGAATTAGCGTTGTACGTTCTGGCAGCAACGCTTCCTGCAGAGAACGTCGAGGCAAGCGCGACGAGCGCCACTTCAAGAGGAGGAAGCGGTTCTCGAGGCTGGGAGGGAGCAAACTCCAGGACCCCCACCCCAACGAGCCACGGACCCACAGCTCAAGTACGAGCAAGAATCCTGGAGAAGGCAACAACGAGCCTGGAACGACTCGGCGAGGTTCCAGACGGAGTCACAGCTCATCGCCTGTGGTTCAGCCTGGCGTCACGTCGGACGCGGAGACTAAGGGAGATCTCCGAGACTGCAACTTCGGGCCTGTACGCAAGTCCAAGGAGAAAAGCTTGAACAGTTCGAGTGAAGCCAAGGACAAACTGGGCGTAGGTTAGATGCCGAGAGGGACTTTTGAGGGGAAAAGGGAGGGCTAAACGTGTTTTTTTTAGTGTAATTGAGTCGATTAGGTTATTCGGCAAGGTTATTAGCTTTTCTTTTTTCGGGAGTCCGAGTTTTGCGTTTCTTTCGACTTTAGCTTGTTGTGTTAGCGTTGTTCCTTTAAAGCGCTTTTCTCCTCAGTAATGTTTGGGTTCTGAAGGACGTGCTCGAATTTGATAGGGATATGCCCTATGTGAGTTACGTTGCGGTTTGTAATGTGTTGTTTTCACGGGAGTCCGTTTTATTTTGGGTTGAGCGTTAGAGGGCTTTTATTGGTCTACAAAAGTTTCTTTCGCTAAAGCAACCTGTCGTAGGAAATAAGTTTCTGTGTGTCTTTCGTTGATAGAATAGCACGGAACTTTCAAGTGGCATTTTTTTATTGTTGTTTGAGAGTGGTCTGGCGGAT